GTATACAGAATGATTAAAAAAGAAAGCATAGCCGGGCTTGGTGGTGCATGCCTGTAATCCCAGCAGCTCTGGGGGCTGAGGCAGGAGAATCTCAAGTTCAAAGCTAGCCTCAGTAATAGCGAAGCACTGAGCAACTCAGTGAGACCCTCTTTAAATAAAATACAAAATAGGGTTGAGTAGTAGCACACAGAATAGTAATTAATAAATACCCTATTTTGTATTTTATTTAAAGAGGGTCTTACTGAGTACCCCTGAGTTCAGTCTCTGGTACAAAAACAAAAACAAACAAACAAAAAAAGGAATGCACATTCCTAAGAATCCCCAACACTGTCAAACAAACAAACAAACAAAAGGGTGGGGGGCAAAGATTGGCAGTCTGGATACAGAAAAGTAGGTAGATGTTAATGTCCTGAGGCTGGGGTTAGTTCAGAGATGAAGAGAATTAGGGAGCAAGGAATTGAGATGCTGGCAAATGTTCAGTACAAATAATATAACACAGCTGGGTATGGTGGGGCACCCCTGTAAATCAAGCTACTTGGGATGCTAAGGCAGGAGTATCACAAGTTCAAGGCCAGCCTAGGCAATTGAGCAATGTTTCAAAATAAAAAAGAGTGAGAGGTGCAGCTCAACAATAGAGCACCCTTGGGTTCAATCCCCAGTACTGCAACAAAAACAAAAACATACCCAAAAACCAAAGCAAATAATATAATACATGTTCCAGCTAGATAGGGGAAAAAAATATAGATAGTATGAATCAATGCAGGGCTGTCAAATTTGTTGGGGAAAAAAAAGGCCCAGAAAAATTTGAATTTCAGATAAACAGAATATTTTTAAGAATAAATATGCTCCAACATTGTATATAGCCTGCATTTTATTTGACAATTATTGTAGGTGAAAAAAGATGGAATCCTGAGGTCAAAGGGCTAGAGCATGGTGTAAAAAGAGTCAGAAAGCTGATTTCTTTCTTTCTTTTTTTGGTGCTGGGGATGGAACCCAGGAACTAGTGCATGCTAGGCAAATGTTCTACCACTAAGCTACACCCTTAGCCCTTGCAAACTGAATACTAAACACTATTGTTTAGAATTTCAGACATGGAAGAGTTGGGGGTAATGAAAAAAATCATGGAGAGCCCATTGGAGTTTGTGGCTGAAACCAAATGGAAGTATAGGGCTGAGAAAAACACTGAGCCTAGAGCAATTAGATGGATCATTAGCATGAACATTGAAGTCAGCTAAAATGATGGTTGGAGGATGGAGGAGTATAATAAGCCAAGTATCAAAATCTTCAAAAAGTGTGGTAAAATGACCAGGAAGTCACTGAAGGATGATATCAGGATATCCTAAAGGTCTTGTAAAGGGAAGGGCTTTTTGCATATATTAAAAGGGTAATAACAACCTGAAATTCTGTAATGTGGAACTGGGGAGATAATCCATAGCTCAGAAAGAATAAACTACTTTTAAAAATGTAGTGTGTTCTCAGAGAGCAGTCAAGTTTCAGACAAGATGGAAAAGTAGGGCACAGGGTAGTGTTTTCAGTAGAGGGGTTACAGTGGATGGAATGAAAAGGGGTGGGAGAGATGATGAGAGAATGAACACCGAATACCAACAATTAAAAAAAGCAAAAAAGGAACAAACAGAAAAATAACTTAATCTTGACTGAAAGGAGAAGGGAAGACTATTCTAAGAAAGTGAGGTTTGAGTTGAGATCTGAAGAACGTGATATCTTACAGGTACCTCATATTCAGTCAGTCCAATGCCAAAGAATTACCTGACACTTGTCACTCTTCAGTGATTTCTAGCTCAGTGAACGGACCTACTGTTATGCAGGTTAGAAATATAAGAGACATTCATGATATCTATCTGCCTCCCTTATGTTCATTATCTAAACCATTACACAAGCATCAGATAAAGGAAGCATTCCAAGCAGAGGGAACATATGCAGTGTTCCTATGTTGAAAGACATGGTGTCTTCTGAAGCTAAAGACTTTACTTTTACACTGAAGAAGGGGCTAGATCCTGAAGGTCTTATAGGCCATACTAAGGATTTTGTTCTTATCCTAAGAGCAATAAGAGACATTGACAAGTCTGGAACAAAGGAATAGATGTGATTAGATTTAGATTTTGAAAAGAGCATTCTGTTGGTAGAATGGAGAACAGATGTGAGAAAGCTTAAATACAAGGAGATCAGAAAAAAGGCTAATGTAGTCAAATAGTTGAGAAGTGGGGGTGCTTGGCACAGGTACGAACAGTGAACGTGGATGTAAGTGGATAGTTTTTAGGGCTAGTGAGATGATAAAAGGAACTGGTGAAAGTGGTAGATATTCTCTTCTAAACAATGTTAGGAATGAAAATGGAAATTGTATAGGAGAGAAAAAAATTTCCTCTTTCTGGTCACTTCCTTACTTAACTACAATCAAACCGATTTATAGCAGACAGTGCTGCCCTTAGGCAAAGGTAAGGGGCCCCTATCTAATCTGTCTCTTTCTGCTGCAAAGAACAAGGAATCCCTGAGGTCAAGTGGCCATGCCAGTTAGGAGACTCCCCATCTCTTTAAGACTGCCTAAGTCTGAGGGTAGACTGAGCTGCTGATTGTACTTATTTTCAGGGAGTATGGGATGTGGACACATGCTTCAACATGCTGGGTCCATACATGGCCTCATTTAGTGTGGCAGGTGAAGAAGTTGGGGGAAGAAAAGAACTCAGAATCAGTTTGAGGAGTCTTGAGAATTCTAAATTTAAAGCTAGCCTTCCAGATCATTACAAAAGTGGATTTGTCAAGGTTTAATACAATATATTTTATGTAATAGTTTGTTATCTTGATTTATAACTTAAAATATTTAGACAGGTGGTACATGGGTCTTGTCCAGGCTCTGCTAGTTTAAGGCCAGGCCTGATAACAGGGTAGTATAGTGTACTATTGTGCAAGGAGTAACAAATTCACACAGATAAGAGTATCATTTAGTTGCACCTTTAAGAAGTTAGATTTTTAAGACTTCAGTGTGGAAGATAAATGAGTGTACAAGATTCAAGGCATACCTTAATGTTTATGAGATCCTTCTCTAGATAAGGAGGGCCAACAATTAATAAATTACTTTTATTATTACTTGTAGTACAGTACTAGGGATTGAACTCATGGGTCAGTCTACCATCTAGCAACATTCTCAGGCACTTTTTTTTTTTTTTTTTTTGACCAGGGATTGAACCCAGGGATACTTAACCACTGAGCATATCCCCAGCTCATTTTAATCTCTATTTTGAGACAGGGTCTTGCTAAATTGCTGAGGCTGGCTTTGAACTTTTGATCCTTCTGCCTTGGCCTCAAGAGCTGCTGGGATTACAGGTGTGCACCAATGAGCCCCACTCCAGCCATATTTCATTTTATATTTTGAGACAGGGTCTTGCTAAATGCCCAGGCTGGCCTTGAATTTGTGATCCTTCTGCCTAAGACTCCCAAGCTGGGATTACAGATATGCACCAATGCATCTGGCTAAGAAATTATTTTATTTATAATGATTTCAGTGTGATTTTGAAAACCCTCTTCAAAACTGCGTAAGTTTAGAGTGTGGAAGGGAACTTAGTGATCATGGGATGAAATTTACTCATTCAACAGATAAGAAAACAGGTCGTGACAGGTGAAGCCAGCGTAAGGTCACAACTCCATTGAGTTGACAGATGATTTCCAGTCCTACCTATCCTCTCTGTTCACTCTCCCACCAATGCTCCTATTTTGAAGATATCTGATGCCAGTCAATTCCAAAGTTTTTACTGTTATGTATTAAATATTTCATTACTGTAAAAATTTTAGGTACTTAAAATTAAATATAACTATAAATCAATGTTAAAATTTGACTACTCCTTCCCAAATCTCAAGGGGGAAAAGAAAGAAAACGGAAGTAAAGAATTCCAACTTTCTGAGGTCGCAAGAATGGATATTCTTAAAAGTTACTTTTAAGCGTTTCCAGAAAGCCTATGCAGTTTAGGGCTCCTCTTAGAATCATAAAATTTCTTCTCACTGGCCCACTGAGTTGACTGCTTTTATTTTTACATTCATTCCTTTTGACTTTCTGACGTCCTATGACATCTAAGAGTTAAAAGCATGCTCTTTGCTATGGTTACAACTGTATTGCAACCCGTCTCCCCAACTTCCTTACTTGTTAATCCAAAAATCAAAACACCCGCTTACAAAGTATGGAACACTCGGCGCTACTACACAATAAAATACAGAAGCTTAATTTTTTTTGTTTCCAAACACTTAGTAATATCGCATTTTCTTGATGAGTTTAAGTTATAATTACAAAAAAATAAAAAAATTAAAACCTTTAAGGGACCACTCACAATTTTAAAAGTCTTCAAACCCAGGGGATATCTTACCTTCAAGCTCGGAAGTAATCCGAAAGGAAGTATCCTGTTCATAGGACTTTATCTTCCCTCAATGCACGAGCGTTCACGATCTTAGCAATAGTAATACATCTTGTCACCACATTAAGTGATTTTTTAAGCCCCTCCCATCAATTGACTACCGACTAACAAAAGAAATGATTTATTTCTCCGCAACACTTCTCTGAGCTAAGCATCCCCGAAAAACAGCTTTCCGAACGCGCAGAGGCAGGAAGGGAAAGGCACGCCGGGGGAAAAAGGAAGAGAAAGTGGTACAACTGCAACACAGTCTTCGAGGCAGGAACGAACGCGCCCTCGGTCGGGGCAGATTTGGGATCTAGAGTGTCCCAGACACTCTCACAGGGCACCCGAGTTCACGCTGGCGACAGTCGGAGACCCTCTCCTCCGGCAGCTCCCCCAGCTACTAGCCGCACCCGGCGGAGCTCTGACCTCCAAAGCAAGTCCGCTAGGCAATTCCAACCCTTCGCTTTATGCCCGTACCTTTGATTGGATTCTAGATGGATCCCTCAGTATGTCTCACCCTATGAAAGACCCGGCCGGTGGCCCGGCAGCCCCGCCCCCGCCCCGCCCCGCCCCTGGCAGAGGACCCGCCCCGTGCCTCGCGCCAGGGAGCGGAGGAGAGTAAATACAACAGGAGCGCAAGATGGCGGAACCGCCGAGCCCAGTGCACGGCGCCGCCGCCGCCGCCTCCGCCTCTGTCGTTTCCGAGAAAGAACCATTTGGCAAGCTTCAATCTTCCTCTCGGGATCCACCGGGTTCTCTGTCCGCAAAGAAGGTCCGGACTGAGGAGAAGAAGGCGCCGCGGAGAGTGAACGGAGAAGGGGGTAGCGGCGGGAACAGCAGGCAGCTGCAGCCGCCCGTGGCACCTTCGCCTCAGAGCTATGGCAGCCCAGCGTCTTGGAGCTTCTCTGCTCTTTCTGCTACCCCATCTCCGTCTTCTTCTCGGAGCTGTTTCTCTTTCTCCGCGGGTTCGGCGGTCCCCTCTTCAGCCTCCGCTTCCTTGTCTCAGCCGGTGCCGCGCAAACTGCTGGTCCCTCCTACGCTGCTGCACGCCCAGCCTCACCATCTCCTGCTGCCGGCCGCCGCTTCCTCGGCTAACGCCAAGCCACGCAGACCTAAGGAAAAGCGGGAGAAGGAGAAGAGGAGGCACGGCCTTGGCGGGGCCGCCCGGGAGGAGAACGGGGAGGTGAAGCCGCTGCCGCGAGGTGGGTGCTGGCTCGCGCGGGGGAGGGGAGGGGACGCCCGGGTCCCCGCCACCCTTAAGCGCTGGGGGCCCGGGAAGGGGGAGCGCGGCCCCGGCGTGCGCCAGTCTGGACAGGCGGGAGGCGTCAGGTTCTCTGGCGATTTTGCAGTCCTCAAGGGGACAGGAAATGGAGCCTGTAATTTTGGTGGCAGAGAGGGGAATGGCCTAAACTCTATATGGTTTTTCCTCCCAGTTAACGAGCTGCAGCATTTGTAGAAATCGGTCTGGAGGACCCTTCTAGGTATGCTTAGTTAGGGAGGGAGATAGGAACAAACGAGAAGGGTTCGGTCTTTAAAAGATGCTTGATAACTAAATAAACTGTTTAGATGTGATCACAGGGATTTGTATTTGTGACCCAACCTCCGACACCAGAAAATCCTGTCAAAAAAAGGGGTGTGGAGAGCATTGGCGTCAGCTGGAAGCTACCAGAGGCCTGAGCATTTCATCCCTATTAGGGAAGTGAGGTAGTGTGCAGGGCCCCAAGTGTGCTGTTTCATAAGGTACCCAGCCTCCACCCTCCTCTCCACTCCGTATTCTTTAGTGTTTTGAGTGGTCCTATTTGAAATAGAAGAATTTTCAGCCATATTCTCTTTTGCTGCAGCAAATAATAAAAATCAGGAGCTTTGACGTGTTTTGGCCACATCAAGTGGTTACAAAATGTTTTAGCATAAGAAAAAGGCAGATTCTTAGGCGTCCTTTTGAGACACACTTTTGCATGTTGACTTTTCATAGTTTTTCAAGATAGTATTTCTTTAAAATAGGTGGTCCTTTTAGCGGTGGATATATAATGATTTGACAGAGTAGTACAACATGCAGATTGGTTGGGAAGTAAATCTGTGATTACAAACTTAAAACTCAAAGTTTGAAATGATATTTATTATAAATATATGTTGCTACAGTGTTATGAAATAAAATCTTTTTTTTAGCAAAAAATGAAATGCAGGCAGTTTTAGCATAGCTGATCTGATGTCGCTTAGATCATGAAAAATGCTGTTTTAAGTAGAATGGCTTATTTTTCACAGTAATTTTTAAAAAAGCTATACATGAGTATGTAGTAACAGTGTTACTTTCCAAAATTTTTTTTTTTTTTTTTTTTTTTTTTTGTCCATAGCAAAGCTTTGACATCCAAGTCAAACCTGCCATCGGGTATTCTGATGCAGAGTAAAGATCTCTCACTTCTGGAGATTGTTGCTTCTACAAAAGCAATTTTGAAGATGGAGTTTACTTAGGAATTTTAAGTGGTTAATATTTTAAAGCTATTTGTTTTAATCCCTAAGTATAAAATATAAGTGCCTGGAAGTCTATCCAAATGTGGCTTGGTATCAGTCTTACTTGTGGTGTGTAAACTGTGCATTTGCTTCATAAATTCCCTGAGGAAGTGCATATGGATATTGGAATGGCTGAAAATAAATAAGCATGCATTTTAAAAAAACAATTCTGACTTAACATGTGGTGTAAACAGATGTCCTTTAAATTCAATGGCTCTGTAGTGCATGATTGTAATCTCGGCTACTTGGAGGCTGAGGCAGGAGGATTGCAAGTTTGAGGCCAGCCTGGGCAATTTAGTGAGACCCTGTATCAAAAATGAAAGCACTGGCCAGGTGCAGTGGTGTACACTTAGGAGGCTGAGGCAGGAGGATTGCAAGTTCAAAGCCAGCCTCAGCAAAAAACAAGGTGCTAAGCAACTCAGTGAGACCCTGTCTCTAAATAAAATACAAAAAAGGGCTGGAGATGTGGCTCAGTGGTGAGTGCCCCTGAGTTCAATCCCTGGAACAACAACAACAAAAGGACTGGGGACGTAGTTCAAGGGTATAGTGCTTGCTTGGCATGTGTGAGGACCTTGGTTCAATCGCAATTACCAGGAAAAAAAAGTGAAATGACTTTGAAAGCAAAATTTTTATAATGTTTTAAATTACATTTAGAATCTTTTTTTTTCTTCTTCTTTTTTTTTTTGGTATTGGGGATTGAACCCAGGGGTACACTACCATTGAGCTACATTCTCAGTCCTTTTTGTTTTTTATTTTGAGACAGGGGCTCACTAAGTTGTCCAGGTTGGCTTTAAATTTGAGATACTCCTGCCTCAGCCTCCCAAATCCCTAGGATTAGAAACCTGAGCTACCATGCTAGGCCCAGAATTCTCTTGAGTGCTACCGCTTACATTTTTAAGCCTAAATATATAACAAGGATAGCTTTTTAAAAAATATTTTTTAGTCGTCAGTGGGTCTTTTATTTTATTTATTTATTTATATGTGGTGCTGAGGATTGAACCCAGGGCCTCACACATGCTGGGCAAGCATTCCACCACTGAGCCACTACTGCAGCCCCAACAATGATAGCTTTTATATTAGGCTTTTCCCACAACCTAAATGGATTTTTTAAGGAATGACTAGATATTAACTTTTGTAATCTTTTTTGTACAAAAATGCTATTTTATCTATTTATTTATTTAAAAATGCTGTTATTTTGAGAAAAAACTAAAAATCAAAGAAAAATATTGCTTTTTAGTATTTTTTGTTTGTTTTTGGTACTGGGGATAGAACCCAGGGGTACTTAACCACTAAGCCACATCCTCAGCCTTTTAAAAATATTTTATGCAGATATAGGGTTTTGCTGTGTTGCTTAGGGCCTCGTCAAGTTACTGAGTCTGGCTTTGAACTCACAATCCTCTTGCCTCAGATTCCTGACCTGTTGAAATTACAGGTGTGTGCCACCATGCCCAGCTTGCTTTTTAGTATCTCAATGATAATTTTTTTGTGTGTGTGTGGTGCAAGTGCAATACCACCAAGCTACAACTCCAACTCGATTCAATAATCTTTAGTCAGAACTAAAGTAAGCTCTAACAATATTTTTTTTTTAAATTTTAATATTTATTTTTTAGTTTTCGGTGGACACAACATCTTTGTTTTTATGTGGTGCTGAGGATCGAACCCGGGCTGCACGCATGCCAGGCGAGCGCGCTACTGCTCGAGCCACATCCCCAGCCCCTCTAACGATATTTAAAGAAGGAAAATAGATTTTCCCTCAACAAAAGACAAAATTGATGTATGTAGTTCCCAGAAGAACTGGCCACTCCCAACTTTACTAAACTATTAAGCTCCTGTACTTATTTATTTAGAGTTTTTAAAATCATTAGAACAGCTTTATTTTTATATTGGTTATATTCTAACAAAGTGTTCGAATTGAATGAAAGTGCATATATGAATGGACCTGGCAAGCCATTTAGTAAATGTTCAGTCTGAAGCATGGTTTTTAATTTTTTAATCTCATCAATAAATTAAAAGATGGGTCAGTCCTGACAGAATAAAGGATCACTGACTGCAAATTTGAAAGCTAGGCTTACTAGTGTAGGCTCGTTGAATACGATGACCAATACCTTATGCACCTACCATCTCTTCAGGCCATGTGGTGATAGTGCTATAGCTGACTTACATGATAGTCTAATTCATCAAATAAAGGTTAAATTTTTTCTTATAAAAAGTGCAGAATAGTTTAGATTCTTAAAACTAGAAATAGCTGGACCTGGTTGCTCATGTCTGTAATCCCAGTGATTTGTGAGCTGATACAGGAGGATGGCAAGTTCAGGGCAGCCTTGGCAACTTAAGACTCTGTTTCAAAATAAAAAAATAAGAAGAAAGGGCTGGGGATGTAGTTCAGTGGTAAACTGCCTGTAGGTTCAGTCCCCATTCGGCAAACAAAACCAAAAACAAAATAAACCTGGAAAATAACTAGATTTGGTGCTTACAGAGATAAGCTACTGGAGTTACCCCATTTTTCTCTAACACTTAATTGTTCAAACACTTGGAAAGTAAAAATGGACGTGTTTTTAAGGTATCCACCATTGAGAATCTCATTATAGTAGCTGGGCATGCTGGTACACACCTGTAATCCCAGTGGATCTGGAGGCCTCAGCTGGAGGATCATGAGTTCAAAGCCAGCCTCAGGAAAAGCAAGGTGCTAAGCAGCTCAGTGAGACCCTGTCTCTAAATAAATACAAAATAGGTCTGGGGATGTGGCTCAGTGGTCCAGTGCCCCTGAGTTCAATCCCTGGTACCCACTGCATCAAAAAAAAAAAAAAAAAAGAATTAAGATAAACAACATATCATTAGATATTATGTGGCTTCAGGGATTCTGAAAACCAATATAATTTGTATGGATCTTGTGACTTTTATAGCTTTTGCTTTGCATTTTTTCCCCCTTAGAATGACTTGTGAAATATTCCAAGACAAAAATCAGACCATTTCACTGAAGTTTTTCCTTGAAAATATAGTTTCAGAATTTAATTCTAATGAAAACAGAGACTTTTTGTAGTATTGAATGATTTGGGGTATGTGAATGTTAGTGATTTTTAAAACAATGAATACTTGAACATTTTCAGCTATATTCTCCCCCATCTTTCTAATATTATTTCACAATTTTGGGTTAAATCCATATTTAGAGTTTTCATCATATATATATATATATATATATATATATATATATATACACACATATATTTAATAACCAAATATTTGTCACTGTTGAGAGAATAGTTGGATATGATTCCTTTGTTTGTGTGAATGTGTAATCTTTTGTATTTCATGTCCAATTTTTTTTTTTTCACTTGTTTAGTTTTCTCTGACAAATTCTTTCTGTATCTTCCAACAGCTCCATAAAATGCTTCTCAGTACAATTTTCCACATGGGCAAAGCTGTCAGATAAACTTATCAGTTCCATTTGTTCCTGTAGACATCCCCTCTGTAGATGTCCTTCCTGTTTCTGTCTGGATTGTTTACTCTTAAGGCCTGCTGCATAACTATCACCTTGGGACTTTCCTTAGCTGAGTGACATTCTGGGAATTTCTTTCAGTTTTGTTGAATGCCCTTTCTGGATCTCTTGCCTGTCTTTTGGTTCATATTGTAATTCTGTATTTTTCTACTAGGAGTAATGTGAAAGGGTGTGTAAGAAGTACCCTTTTGGGAATTG